CCTTTGAATCATCGAGTTCGAGGGTGCAATCTATTGTGGCTTAAGGCGCACGTTCCTTACTTGACAGCGTCTTGGGCTCCCTTCCTCGGACTCTGCCCAAGGATGCGGGGCAAACCGCCACGCCTCTGTCACTGCGGCATGTGGCGGCACATCTGCCACCAAGGCGAATTGGGGGCTCAATCGTGGGCAATCAATCAGCCCCCCTCCGGCCAGTTTCGACATGCTGTCAATAGCTGAAGAAATGCACCGACCTCAAGGATAAGACAGCAGTTTGATCGTCGCTGTTTTCAGGGCGTCAGCCGCCAGACCTCGCGGTGCCACGAGATCTGGCTTGGGACTCCGCGTTTTCGCCTCTCGACCCCAGCTTCTTCACTTCTGCAGAGCTACTTCGTAACCTGGGTTCAAAGGTCTCACAGAGTCGCATAAGATTCATATGATGCAATAAGGTACTGTACGCTGTGTGCCTGCAGCTCAAGAACACCCATGACCCGCAAGTGTGCAGGGAGAACAAGGGAGGGCTGAAGCGGAGAGAGGGCTTCTGTAGAGGGCCTTGAATCTCAAGGCATGTCGTGCACGAAGCCTCGAGATTCGTGGTGCGATGCCCCCGCTGACTTGTATTCATGTGCAGCACCCACTGAAAACTGCACGCCCCAAACTCTAAGCCCTAAGCCCTAAAAGCTTCATAAGATACTACAATATACTGTAACATACTATAATATACTATAGTATACTATAATAGATTCTAATATACTATAATATACTATAATTTACTAAACCCAGTGCCCGTTTGCCACAGCTTCTGAGAGTCTCAGACTCCTTCGAGGTCTCTGCCACGGGGCCCAGGGCCGGGCAGCCTGGAGCTTCCAGCGACTCTCCAGAAACTTAGGGGTTTCTCAGCGCTTAGGGGCTTAGGGGGTTTAGGGGCTTAGGGACCTTGGGCTTAGGGGCTTAGGGGCATAGGGGCGTAGGGGCTTAGTAGGGCCTTGGGGACTTAGGGTTTACGGGCTTAGGGGCTTGGGAGCCCAGCAGGCGTGTCTTCATGGAAGAACGAGGCGGCTCCTTCTCTGAGGGTATGTTGACATCAACGGTATGAACTACAATATACTAGGAAGATACTGTAATGGGCTAGGATCTGTTATATTAAAGGATATTTTCATGTAGGATCCTGCGCCTTGGGTTTGTGATGTGGCCTGAGTTGTAATCAACCTCGGAACGAGGTGCACTTCTGGTAGTCTCAACAGCCGAAGCGAAACCCAAAAGTTCTCCCTGAACCCTGAGCTCCTGGACGCCCCGAAACCCCTAAGCCGCGAAGCTTACGAGCCCTGGACCATCCGCCGGCCCTGGGGCACCCTAAGCCCCTTATAGAAACCTATAGCATACTCTAGGATCTTGTAGCCTGGTATAGTACATTGTTGATCATTTTTTATAGCATATTCTAGTACATTATCTAGGATATGATAGAAATCCGTCCTCTGCTGTTCCAGCGGAGCGGAGCCCTAAGGAGTCGCAGAAGGGGAAAAGAGGCTGCGGGCAAAGCAAGGCCAAACCAACGAGGGGCTTGGGAGGTGTGGGTGTCTCTCTCTCTCTCTCTGTGTCTCTCTCTGTCTCTGTCTCTCTGTGTTGGGATTTAGGGCCTTCGAAGGTTGAGGGTCTAGACGTCGTTTGCACTGGCGTCGGGGCGGCTGGGAACGAGCTCCATCCGAACTAAGTGCCTGCAACTCCGCACAGTTTCTCAGTGTGCTGAGATAGATCAGTTTCTGTACTATGATCCTTGTCATGGGACGTCTCATATGACCCGTGCTATGAGAACGAATGTGATCGCACTTATGGGAGCCGAAATATGATCTCGGTTATGCGGAGCTGTCGTCCCTTCCTGCCAAGTCTTGGATTTTCCTAAAGTGTCCGTTGTATCGTAACTGTAATACCTGATTGAGCCAACACCATTTCCCGAAAAGTGTTTCCTCCTGAGCGAAGGAGGGCGTATGATAGCTTAGCACTGGATGCGACTCATTTACTCACACAAAGAGCTACGACTTTAGGGGTTTGGGGTGGGTTGAATTCCGACATGTGCCTTCTTGGCTTTCTAAGGGGGCGTCTTTCGTGTTTTCACTGTGCCAGCAAAGTAAGGACTCCAAGACCGCTTTGACTCAGGAATATGCCGTAACTTGCTGAATAACACACGCCGAGTTAAGAACTTGTTGGAGTCTCTGGTGAAATATTTATGCCACATTTGCCAGGACCGTTTGAATGTTTAGGGACCCCTGAGAGTGTTGTTGGGATTCCTTGGAAGCCCATGGCATTTTTGCCAGGCGTCGTGTGTTCAGCAGCTGCTGCACCTGAGCTGCGCAAAGCCGTTTCTTCTGTTGTTCTTCCACTTGCTTTATCAGGTTTCTCATCATTCTTCAGGAGATGGGGTGTCTGGCAATACCATGATTCTACCATATTGCATCAGGTTTTGTTGATTAGCTGTGGTATATGAAACTGACTTTTGGCCGCTTCTGTTCACTGCTGTCTTCAATCTTCAACGCATGAGAATCTGAAACCCGAAATCGAAACCCTACGCCCTATAGAGAAAACCCTATGCCTTCCAAAAGAAAGCCTAGGCCCAAAACCAAAAAATCCTACACCTAACAAACCCTAAGCCCATTAGGGGCTGAGGTACTGGGCAAGTACGCGTCTCTGGATGGGGCAGGCGCTCCACGTGGACGCGGAGCTGCCCTGCTGCGCAGAACATAGGGGGCCTCAATCGTTCGCATCAGGTTTTGGGGGTAATCACAATTGTAGAAGTATATGAATGGGTATTGGGGTATTGTTGATTTGTATTGTACAGAACCCTAAGTACCGTTGGCTACTACTTTGTGCGATCCAGCTGCGTTGTAGTGGAGTGCGAGCAACGGCCAATTGACTGTGTCTTGCGTTTCAGTTCGGAAATGGTGGAAGCTGTTCGTCGTCCATCGTAAGTTTCTGTCAAGGTTTTTCGGCCGCCTACGCGAAAGTGTGGAGGCGGGGACATGGCGAAATGAGTTGGAGTTTGGTGTTGTGATGGCCACTCCATGCGCATCGTTGCAGTGCTCAGACTGCAAGCGGCCACAAAAATGCAAAGCGCAAAGGCCATCTGGGCGGAGCAGAGGACACCACGAAGCCAGCTGGCGAAGCTGGCTACGCAGATGTCGCCGGGCACCCGGCACCCTGCACAGGGCTTCGTTGGTTGTTGCGGATGGATATGATGGTACTTTGTAGTTTTTCAGATGATGACTTCTATCCCAAACACACCGAATCCGAAGCATTGCGGTGAGGAGGTTTCCCATTCTGCGGGGGTTCAAAAAATTGAAAGGCGAGATGCGGTGTATGCCGTGGGTTGTAAATGGGTCGAGCACATGAGTTTGATGTTTGGAAGCCAGGCTCCCCTTTCCGCCTTTCTGCTTCGAAACTTCCACAAGCAGCACGCATCTCGCAAGAAAGAGTTTGAAGTGGTTCCACATCCAACATGGCAAAGTCTGAAACTCGCTCAACACTTGGAGAGTGGGTCAACCCTAAACTGCCCTGAAGCCTACACCGACACCTGGTCCAGGTGGCTGACGACCACGCCGGACTTGGCAGTCAACCCCGCGGCCTTCCAGGCAGGTGGAGTTTCAAGCGAGCGTTCCTGCGCTTCTTGGTGCTAGGTGTATTATCACTATGATGACAACGATGACTAGTCGTATGTCTGTTGTTCGTTCCAACCTATACTGCTCGTTGGAGCGGTGAGAGCAAGCGACACAGAAGTCGGTTCATGGAAGCATTGAGAGCTGGTGCGATGGTAGACTGGCAGTCCGGGCCGGCGGTGTGTTAGAGGTACAGTGGGGTTTAAGTGGTGTGGTGGTGGAATCCCGCTGAAAGCCAGTCAGCACCGAGGCCTCAGCCTAATAGGCATTCCCTACCAACCTGGAGGCGGAAAGGAAAAGAGGTGATAAAAAAACAACTCCAAACCGTAGCTCATCAGTCAGTTGTTCTTCATCACCATAAACGGGACTATAAACCCTAAACCCTAAACCCTACCCTAAACCCTATGTCCAAAGCTCCTGAGGCTTTCCTCCAGGAGCTCTACGAGATCGTGGACAAGCTGCCCTTCCCGCAGAACTCCAACCGCAAGTCACGGAGACTTTGAAGCCCAAAGTGGGGTTTGGTTGGGGTTTTGGGGTAAAAGTTGCTATACTATGGGTATACTGAGGAACCCTCCAGGAATCACATTGGTATTTATTTAGGCCCCAAGGTAAGGGGGCCAAAGCTTTTGTCGATGTTCCGTGGCGATCGTAGTCGCAGTCGGAGGGGCTGAGGCTCAGGGGATTTCCAAGATTGCGAGCCTTCTAGTCGAGAAGCTTCAACTGTAAGGAGAGCCAAAGAAGCTCAAGAGATCAAAGTCAATCTCTTCGGAGAGAAGATCCCAGCGCGATGCTCGCCGGCAGAGTGTGTCGCAGGGCCAAAGCAAAGCATTGTATTGTGTAACCAGCTTCGGCACCAACATCTCTCAAGAACTTGTCTGACGTCTGCCTCTTCCGGATGCAGCAGTGCTGACGAGGCAGGGCGCTTTGGCACCCCGCAGAGCGCAAAGTTCGCATTCAGCTGGGTAGCGGCTTGGCAGCAAATCCGAACTCCAGAAGCAACGCAAGCAGCCGTGGCCCTATCTGCAGTGAACGTGGTGCAAAATCGGCGCGACTGTAAGGCTCAATTGTCCAAGGCCTGGCCGAGCATGTCATCACCAGGGCACGGCATGCAAGAAGTCATTATCCTCTGGTACAAGTACGCATGCAAGGTCCGTGACGAAAATTGTAGCAGAAGCTTGAAGCCTTGGCAGTCCCAGCGAAACCCCCCCCCCCCACACACACACACACACACACACACACAAACACACATACAGAGAGCAGATGACAACTTTTCAAATGCCACTGCAGAGCACTAGAGTCGCCTAGAGCCTGAGCCCGGGTCCCGCTTTGCCCTGCCCTGCGATGCGGCGATGAGCCATGGAGAGGTACTCGTTTGGAGTGTTAGGCGATTCGTCGCTCTACTGCAAGGGCCCGAACAAGAAGCCTCGGAAGCTGGGACACCGTCTTAGGGAGCTGCTTTATACCGAGGTGTGGTACGAAGCGATAGCGAGTGCAGGGGTGGCGCAACTCCTGCAGAAGTTCCGATCAGGACCTGAAATCGACACACTCGGTGTGTCCTACTTCGGGAACGACATCATGCTGGGCCCGATCACCGAGCAAGTGGAGGCTGACTGGAAGGAGTTCATCCGTGCTGTCAAGCTGAAATCGCGAAGAGCCGTTTTCGTGATCGGTGGCTTTGCTGCGAAGTATCGGGGCATGCAGCTCTCCACCGACTATGACCGAAACCTGCAATACGTGAGGAGTCTTGTGCAGAGCGAAGGTCTCTTCGTCACGGACTTGCGGCAGAAGGTCAAGAAGTGGAAGCTTTGCAGCGATGGCATCCACTGGCACGAGGATGAGAAGGAGGACGTCTGTGCCACCTGGGCCCGACTGCTGCGGGGCGAGGATCCTCCCTTTCCGGACTTCGACTTCGAGGCCGAGGATTCCCTGGAGGAATCGGAGTCGCCCATCACTTCGCCCTCGGGAGATCCACCAGGCGGAGCGGACCGGATCGGAGCACGTCTTGGGGTTTAGGGGCAGTAGCAGTCTCCGCCGTATCCTTTGACACATCAATGACGGATATGACGGCAAGGCCCCAGGTTTTTGTTGTACGTAGGCTTCTTTTCTGCCGAGTGTAGCAAGGCAAGAGAGTGCTGAAAGAGTGCGTTTGCTCTGTTCTGTCAATAACTTCCTCCCATCTGCCCACCTGTAATGTCCCCATCAGGACTCCTTTATGTCTTAAGATACGTTTTTTCTTCCATGTTTTTTTTGTCCTTTTCTTGCACTTTCGCCCAGAAGGCCGAGCAGCAGCAGCCTGCTGGGGCAGCCGACGCTGGGATGCGCCGAAACCGGAACCGCCACGGCAGCTGCAGCGGCTGCCGCAGCGGCCTCTGCCCGTGCCCGCCACTGGGTTCCAAGATGCAGAGTGGGAGGACCTCTCCCAGGAATCGCGGGCCTCGCAAGCCGAGATTTTTTCTGTGACGGTCTTTCGCCGGACTCCTCAGGAGAAGCTCGGGATCCGCATGGAGCCCGTGTCTGGCGCAGGCTACGACTCCGCAGCCCGCGTGCACAGGATCTTCGAAGGTGGCCTCATCGACAGATGGAACCGGATGCAGCAGTCAAACGGCCTCCACGGATGGGCAGTCCAAGTTGGCGATGTCATCGTAGGCCTGAACGGTCAGCACGAGTTCGAAGCCTCCAGTTCGGAGTTTCTGACGGCTACCGCACTGAACCTGTTGATCATGAGGGGACTGCCTCTGGAACTCTCGTCATGACCTCCGTTTCCGCGGCAGCCGGAAAGAAAGAGACTGTCGGTCTGTGGTTTAGGGCTGCCGAGCTGCACAGCTGTGCAGGGATGTGGATGCTGTTCCTGCGCTCGTCGTTGTTGTATTGTTGCTGATGTTCTTGTTCTTGATGTTGTTTTGCTCTTGTCAGATGTGCAACAAAAAAAGTATCCTGAAAACAACTTAATCCTAAACCCTCAACTGGCCCTTCACCTGAACCTTACCCTCTTCCCCTTCGACCGAAACCTAAACCGTCCCTACACCATGTAATCCATCGAATAGAGATAATCCCGAAGCCTGCTCCCAAACCTTGGTGGTACTAATGATAAACATGTGATGACGGTAACTGATGCCGATGATGCCTTCACGACGACGGCGAGGCTACTGCTGAACCAAAAAGTTGTTCTGCTGCTGCTGCTGATGATGCTAAAAAATGACGATGACGATGATGGTGCTATAGCTGATGGTGATAAAGACGATGATGATGAGCACATTGTCGTGATGATGCTGGTGATGAGGACGATCATGGCGATTATGGCGCTGATGATGCTGATGAAGATGAAGAAGATGATGATAGTGCGAGGACGACGATGGTGGTGATGGGCAGAAGAGTGGTCATAACAGTGTGACCTCGTGCCTTCACTGCTGCGCATGTTTGAGGCTTCCGCAAGGGCTACGCGACCCGAAGGCTGTTTGCCTGGTGGACCTATGCCCGCTTGATTGAGAATTCAGGTGCGGCCTGTTGCTTTCAAACCCTTTGCCGACACATCTACCCTAAAAACTCTGCTACGATCCGCGAATCGTCGCGGAAGTTTCAACCTCTCTGTGCTATGAAACCTCTTTAGCAGGGAAGCACCAGCTCGCCGTCAGGAGTCACTGGGCGCTCCTTCACGAAGGAGGAGTGTCTGAGTGGAGACAGAGCTGCAAAAAGCCAGTAGTGCTGCCGTTGATATAGGATGTTCTAGTGTACTCTAGCATATTAGAGTAACTATTCTAGTATGTCTATATATATATATATACATACATATATATTTTGTATATGATCCTGCATTATAAAGTTGTCGAGCGGTTGAGGAGTTGCTATTTCTGCTCGCCTGGCCCTCGAGCGATACGACGAAGCCACAGATCTTATGTTATGCTTATGTTATGTTTATGTTATGTGTGTTGTTTTATGCCATGATATATGTGTTCCATCGAAGGACATGGCGTTGGATTTTGTACGCACGTCTACTACCTCCGTATAGACTTGTATACATACATGCAGATGATAGTCATTGTGGTTATAATTGCCATTGCAAGCCACCTGCATTGTCGTTTGGTGCTGTCCCGTATTCCAGTGCCAAGCTCACCATACATCCTAAGCGAAACCAGCCTCGTGTTGCGTCCTCGAGTTCCGTCCTTCCCACCAACAGCCGCAAGTCGCCGTCTCTGTAGAGAAAGACTCGAAAGAGTCCGCACCGAGGAGTGTAGAGTGCCGAAAAGCACTGCAAGAGGCGATGAATGTGACTTTGCACGTTCCCCGCGCTCCAGACGAATAGTTATCCTTTATTGTTATTGCTAGTGTTATTGTCATTATTATGACCATGCTTACGGTTTGTGTCTTGATGATGATGGCAGACAAAACTCTCATCATTATTCAGATTCCTAGTTGTCTTCTTCTGACAAAGACGTTTCATTGCGTTCAACCCTCGCCACGGCGGCATGATAACGCTTCATGTTCCGAAAACGCCTTGGCCTACGGCCCTAAAGCCCTAAGGCTCTGAGGCCTCACGACTGTCAGCCCTAAAGCCCCAAAGCTCTGAGCACCCACAGAATCCGTACAGCCTGATTTAGAGACCCGTGACGGAAGCCTGGGCTGCATAAATCCAAAAACAACCCGAAGCGCCCTACAAAGCCGCAGACAAACCCGCAAAATCCAAGAGGCCCCTCCCCCGATCGAAAAAACCCAAACCCCTCCATCCTCAACCCCAACCCCACTCGAAAAGCCACAAAGCCATCCTAAAGCCATAAAGCCATCCTCCTCTTTCTTTGGGAGACCTGAGGCGAGCTGCTTGTGGCGCTGCTCCGCAGTCGCCCCCCGGGGCCTCCGACGCCGGAGCTCCGGGACTTGGCCTGGAGGCCTGCCGCCTCGTCTTGTCCGAGAGTCTTACAGTAGACACTACTAGTTGTACTAGCACTGGTACGTACTAGTACTAGTACCAGCAAAAATGTTATTGGTTTGTTATTGTTTGCTAGCATTCTTAGTGTATTTATTGCTATGTTCTGCTGCATGCTATTGTTGTCGTTATTGCTTCTGAGGTTACTACTTCATTACGATGACCAGTAACCGCTATGATGCATTCGAGTTGTTGGTAGTGTTGTGGGTGATTCATAGCGTTATGTGTATTGCTGTGCCGCATCCAGTATTCTTCCGTCGTGTTGTTGAGTCTTGATATTTATACACATATTTGTTGCAGGTGGCGTTCTTATACCTTACAGCCTGATTGACGTTGCATTGGCATGTTTGTCATGACTCTTACTAGTATTGCACGTATTCTCCTTATCCGTACCTGCATTATTAGTAGTGACTGCCAAGAGGAATAGTCATACCTTGAAATAGACTCACATTACCAAGGCTGGCGACATGTTCCTACTTCCATCTCAGAAGTTGAGGGACTCGTGGGATTTCCCTCGCAGATGTGTTTCTAAAGCTACTTCCAGGTTGGGAGGTTTTGGGCCTTGGCACGTGCGGCTGCTAGCGCTAAGGCCCAATCCATGAACCTTGCCAGCCAACCCGGCAAGCCCTAGAAACCTCATTGTAGCTATACTGCAGTAGGCCGGATACATAGTTAGTTTGAGGTTCTGGACACTCCACTACTGCAGAAGGGTCCACTGGATCCAAACTGTTGTCCTCCCGATGTCTAAGCACTGCGAAGTCTGTAGCCCCGCAAAGCCGTGAAACCCCAGGCCCGTGTCGCCCCACACTACAAACCACAAACGCTACGCCCTATAGACCCGAACCCCTGAACCCCTGAACCCCTGAACCCCGGAACCCCTAAACCCCTTAAACCCCTAAACCCGCCTGACCTAAACCCGAAACATCAAGTTGCGAGCGCCCAACGAAAGGCTTCTCTCTGCGATGCCTCTCGTTGGCCTGGCCTTAGAAGACCTGCTTCAACTGCCGGAGGTGCGAAGGAGACGGGGCTTTTTTTTCAACCGTACACTGTTCAGGGTGTAGGGAAGGAGATGGGGCTTTCCGCGGCTTCGTACGACGGTCAGGATTGTTTATATGATGGGTTGAGGGACTTAAGCCACTCGGAGACTTAAAGAGTAGTGTTTGGGAAGGGTTTTACAGTCGTTTACTCAAAGGATCGGCAGACTCAATATAATATGTCCTGTTGTAAGTAAGGTAGCTCTGACCCTGCTTGCAGTGACATACAGTACTTACAGTACGGTCCACCTTCGCAAGCTTGCGCTGTTTGAGCAGACGTTATCTGTCCGACTATGATAATTAAATTGCTTAAACTAGCTCTAGCACCTTTTCAAAGTTGCCGTAGCATGCATGGCAATGTCGGAAGGTTCTTGGCCATAGCTGGGCCACCTACGAGCTTCTCGTCGGCTTCGGCCACGACAGTCTCCAGGCATCGCGAGCTTCTGGGGCAAAGTTCGCAGTGGCAACGGCCGAAATACGTCCCTACAGTAGATGATAGCGTAATATATACTCAAAGCCCTTTTCTAGCTGGCATGGCCTCTATGCGGCCTCTTTACTCCCTGCCGCCTATCCGGTTTCAGCAGGGACTGCTGGACGGCCGCCTTTAGCTCCAGATATTTCCTTGTTCAGCCTCGCGTTCTTGCTCTCTTTTCTTTCGCAGGCTCAAGGCAGCACGTAGACGTAGACCTAGCGCGGGCTTCTGGGCTGACAGAGCCCGTTGACTCGTAGGGCGTGGCCATGGAAATCTGCTGCCGCAGACGTCGGGAGGACGTTCGTGACGGCGGTGGCCCAGGTGGAAGTGCCTTTGGTCGCTTGCACGCGGCCCTGCACGCTGCCCTGCGTGCCGTTGGCGCGGCAGGGGGCGGCTGGGCTTTGCTGGCAGCTCTCCGGGCCATAGGCAAGGACAGCAAGGAGCAGGAGCCCCGTTTTGAAGCTTTGGGGCAAAAGACCGACCAAGGCAGTGGGAAGGGACTTAAGGGGCCCCGACATGTGGCTGTGATCATGGATGGAAACCGGCGCTTCGGCCGGCAGGTGCACGGCGATGCGCTTAGCGGGCATCGTGCAGGTGGTGAGAAGCTTCGTGAGTTCTTGCTCTGGAGCGTGGAGCTCGGTGTCGAGTTTCTTACAGTTTTCGCATTCTCGACCGAGAATTGGAAGCGGGATCCGGAGGAGGTGGCGGCGATGATGCGGCTCTTCCTCTCCGAAGTCCCTCGCCTCCAGGACCACGCTTTGAGGAACAACGTTCGTGTGCGCTTCTTGGTGTCCGACGCAGCGCCCCTGCCGGCGGATGTTCAAGCAGCGATCTCCGAGCTCGAGAAGCGATCGTCAAAATGCACGGGTTTGTTGCTGAACGTCTGCCTGAGCTACGGTGGGCGTTGTGATGTCAGTCAGGCCTGCCGAGCTCTTGCCGAGCAGGTGAAAAAGGGTGAACTGGAGCCTTCTGAAATCGATGATGGCATGGTGAAGCAGCATTTACTCACGGCTGACGTCCCAGATCCCGACGTTTTGATCCGTACCTCCGGCGAGCGGAGGCTCAGCAATTTCATGATGTTTCAGCTGGCATATGCCGAACTTTTCTTCCTGGAGAAACACTGGCCAGAGGTGACTCAGCAGGACTTTGGCGATATTGTGTCACAGTTTCAGAGACGGCAACGTCGATTTGGAAAGTGAATTTGGGCTGAGTGTACACGTAGCTAGATAGTCGGTGGTAGCTGTGCATGGTCAGG